ACTTTTTAGGTAAAGATATTTCTTCAGGAGTTTCTTGTCTGGGATGGCGATATTTATCGATGAATTTCTCCGGATACCCATTTGCAAGAAAAACGTTCTTTAGGAAAGTAAGCTCGTCATCGATTTAAAGATGAAGATTTAAAAGATGAACGAAAAATGCATACTTAAGTAGTTGCTCTAGTCCTATGTTCATATAAACAGGCGGGTGAGAAGATGCATTGTAAATTAGGGTGCATTCGAAACGATAATATAACCCAGCTTAAGTTACCCTGTTTAACTGAATGCCTGCTTGAAGGATGTAATTGGCACTTCACCAGTCTCGTGGTTGCTGTAATTTGTCGCTGAGTTCTTAGGTGTAGCCTATTGGTGTTCATTTATTTCACCCCTTCGGAATACTACAATTACAGATCCTCCACTCTGTACTCAGTGTGATCTCTAGTGCTCTTCCGCCTCTAGTATCGGTGCACCCATTTCAATTCAAAATGTTTTGTCAGCGGATAAAATGTACTTTCATTGTCGAAATGGATCACAAACTAAGTGGATTGATCTGGGCCACATAAATCGTCCGTAAAAGAAAACAAAATGGCTCAACGACAGGAAGAACAATTATCTCAATTTGCCCTTCGCATCCTCGAGACGGATCATACGATAAGTTTGCTGCAGCGGCTCGAACAAGGCAACCCGTGCTAGGGGAGGGAGGTCTGGGGGTTGAAGCCTGTGCGTTTGGTGAAATTTTCTTTTATTTGCAAACTGGTTTTCCGTTTGTGTGCATAGCCCTGCGCCTGTCACTGCCGTCGCCTCCCCAAGCGGACGTTGGAATGCACAGAAAAATAAACAACTGATTCCAGTTCTCAACTGCTTCCCCTTTTAGTCTATCGATCAAGTATGAGGGACGCAAACGATCGCCTCTATCTGAGAGCAAACAGCGTTGTATTTTAGGATTTGCAAGATTTAGCCGACAATCCAAATCTCCAATCATTTATCTTTCAGGAATTTAAGACCCTGGCAACCAGCTCCACGAGTAAAATTAACGGCCAGTAGACAGTACACCCGACCACAAAAGTAAATTTATTTAAAAGCATTCCTTCTAAAAATAACCAGAACACTGGCAGTGTAGTCAGCCTAGTAAAAATCTAAAGTGTTGCCTTACCCGCAAAACCCCCTCTACCACCATCCAACGTATGACAGGATCCACAGGCTACCTCAAGTTAGTTGGGATCCTACACTCTATCGCTGCCGTTTTCACGAGAAGGAACAAATCCACTGCAACAGTTGAGTGTGAGAGTACACAATGCTCGGTACTGGAACCTGATTTATAGCCGATGCATTTAATTTGTGTAAGGCACCTCGACCGAGAAACAATAGTGCTGTGGATGATATGGCATCTCGGAATGCAATCATCAGAACTGCCCATGGAGATAACCTGCAGATTAACCTAAACCGGTTAAGAAATTAGTGTGATCTTTGACATGTATAATGGAACAACATTAGGCCTTGATATCAGTGTTTGATTTTATGGACAAACGGTCCAGGGATATGATTAGCGCATTCACTGCCAGCCAGTTTTAGAATACAAACCAGTCTGTCCTTGGACGTTAACGACCAATGCTTACAGGCTGTATGTACCAGTCAAATGAGATTAAACAAACTGGTTACGAGGACAGAGCTTGATGTCGAATTGTTATTCAAAGTTGCTTCTAATTTAACAGGCTATTCTAGCACACTAAGACAAAAGGTTTTTCGTGTCATCGCACAGCGTCCGAGCGCACACTGGACAGAACGACATGGAGTCCTTCTGACAGTCTGGTCAGTGGCGTAGTCCAGCAGGATGGGCAACAGAATATGGCGTCGCCGGATGACAGACCAAGTATTGAGCGGTCGAGGACGATTGTTGTTGGCCAAAAATCGCGCAATGGTAGCGTGATAATAGGCGTTGGTCGTTTTGACTGCCTTTGCTTGCATTCTGTCTGGCTCCGTCATCCGCTAAAAGGACGCAAGACGGACGGAACCGACCGCTGCTGTGAAGTCAACAGAGCAGACGGCCGTCGGTTCTTGGGCGTCAAGGTTGAGTTGGTGAATGTGCCGCAGTATGAATATCTTATCGGTCTAACCACGTCCAGTACAGTATCGGGTTTGGCTTAGTCTTATCCTTGGGTAACATACACACACACATTCCGAAACTGTCTGAGTGACAATAGTCAGGAACTTTGCGACAGTGCCGATGGGGTTTGCGCACCAGTAACTCATGCAATCTGTCTAATCTCCTTTCCTCGAAACAAGTATAGCCGAGTTCCAGACTTTAAGAACGAGTCCATCCTTCCATGCTTGCACAATCACACCAGGACGCCAGTGTCTACACCATAATTGTGAACATCAGCAGAGATATCGTCCTCTCCGAAATCTTGTTGTTTAACATCTGCAAATTCCTCCTGAGAGGCTGTGGCGCAGGACGCTGTTTTGGCTGAAGAGCAATAAACGTGAGACTCAAGGGGTAGATGGTACCCATCGCCCAAACTTGGCCGGGTTGTCAGCAACAGAGTCGTCATTCACGCTGAACACAATCACTCGGTGCTGCGTACCTTCCGCAAAAATGGCGAAAACCTTCCAAGTTAATGAGTACTACCAACTTTTGGAGCCTATTTAATATTGATCATTATTTCAGGTCAACGGAATTGCGGTTCCCTCTGGCTGAATATGTCGTCATCTTTCGGAATTTGTGGAGAAAACCATTGTCGCGTGGTTAATCCCGAACTGACTGTATACACGGCTGCAGAGTTCCTGCGCACATCCACCCGTTTCGACGCCGTTGGTTGAATCTTGAAAGTTTCTCAACTGCTCTGCCGACTGATGGTTTCAATGATGATCATTTGCCATTGCCTTCTCCTCCCGCATGGACTACAAACTGAGATCGGATTTCCGTGAACGGAGCCTCGGCAAACACGCACGCTGCACTGATGGACTATGCCCTCCTAACTTCAGTGCTAGCGTCTAGGGAGGTTTCCAGACTTTAGCATCTACTATGAGAAGTCCATCCTCCGTTTGGTAGGGCAACCCACATAATATTCGCCCGCACCATTGAGTCAGAGTTGGGGAGAGTATCAGTTCCCGCGAACACCGTAGCATGGACTGTAACAGCACTGCCAGACGGTTATCGAACGGGACTTCTTGGAAATTTTGAGTACAGGCGGGGGTTAACAGCCGCTTGGATTGTTTGTTCGAGGTTTCCTCTGGCGTTTTGGTCCAAGCAAGCAAACCTATTTACGACGGTCCGCCGTCGCCGTCATTGAGCCTTGTGGCATTTTGTAAGGCAGTGGAGGTGCCGGACTTGGCCCTCTTCGCTCTGGTATCACCGTCGTTGCTGGTCCATGGCTGTTTATGCGTCGGACCCGAGAGCCTACTTTACAGCCAGCCTTCACTAAGGGCCGTTCCACTATCCGCGCCCGTGGATGCGCCAGGCAGCACACAAGTAACCGACAAGGATGGATCATGTAGCGGGAGTGGGTTGTTTAAACATGCATAACTAGCTACTTTATTGTATTCAGTAGAATCACTCATGTGCTGTCTGGCGCCCCCGTGGGTGCGGGTAGTGGAACGCCCCTAAGTGGAGGTTTGCTGCAAAGTAAACGCGTCCTTCCGTTCATCGCGGTGAATGCACGTCAACTGGACTTCACCGGTTCGGTACTCCGCTCCCAGCTATATCAGAAACACAGGCTACAACGAAAAGACGAAATCCCTGGCCACCCCGTCCTGTAAATTTTAAAACTCTCCACTTAGGATAGTGACCAGCAGTCCAATTAGCAATGGAGCCATCAAATATTAGTCTACTGTAGCCGCCCATAAGACTGCACTCCAATCAGCCCTATAAAAGGAAGGGGAGCATCAAGACTGGGAGATATGCATGGATGATTTGGCCGTGGCAAGACTCGGACATGGAGATAATGGTATTACCGGGTAACTGAAATCCTTTATCGTGAAAAGACGGCCTCCCGCAGGTCGCTAGTCTTCCCGTTAGACAAAATTACGGACAATGGAGATAGTGATTCGTGATGTGACAGAGGAACGGTGATCTTAACGGTAGGCTTGACTACAGGTATTCAGGCCGTCTGACAGGGACTAAAAATTGCTGCTGCGAAAACGCTCTTGAGGGCCGAACAACCGCTTCTTACCGAATTACGAGGTAGCTACTACCTGCGACTGGGAAATGGAAACTGACCGTCATAAAGATGATGCTTAAAGGAAATTCTAAACAAAACTCGTACTCTTGGAATGTCCTCCTTTCCATCACAACCCGGACCCGGGTTGGAGAATGAATGGGACTAAGTCCACTCCGCGGAAGACGGTAATCTGACTGTGGCGGTACCAAGGTCCTAGTTCTCGTCTAGCCCATCGCAGTCGCTAACGCCCTCGAATCCCATACTACCCGTACAAAGAGACATGCAATGGGCAACCGGACAATTACAAACAAAAAACGTCCCTTTCACCCTTCTGTGCTAATGCCAGAACCAACAGACCATGCCGACTCACCTACCCATGCAACCTCTCTCCCTTCAAGGCGAAGTTGAGAAACCTGGGTCCACACAGGCTCTCCTCTTTCTAAACTTACGAATTACTGATAGACCTGTTCTAACTGCTCGGCTGCCACGTAGACTGCCGCTAAAAACAATGATGGTTCCATACTTATCTAAATAATGATAAAGAGGCAAAGATAATAGTTTCGGCGAAAACCTATCAATCAATTTATCATTACATGTCATTTCAAGTCTACATTTATAGGCCTCTGCAAAAGCAAACATTGTAAAATTTTTTTAAAAATCTTAAGGCAATGCCTTGCAGGATCATGCGAATGTACACGTGCAAATGTCACTGGAATACGAACTACTTTCCAAGAATCACAGACCATAAAGTTAGTGTCGGCGTCAGAAATTACTGACGCCCTCGCATCCACTGCAGACTGCATGAAACGGCCAACGAAGCTTCAAGTGAGAGGATAGATCGAGGAGTTAGTCCGTAGATAAGCCGGTTACGTACGACTCCAAATCACCAGCGTCGGATGAAAGTTCCTTGGTTAGTTTTTCTGCCCTTCCCTCGACCGTCATTAAGAAGTCGTCTTCTAGTCGAAGTCCGAGACCGCTGAATTCTGTGCGTATGGGGAGGGTGTCCGAACCCTCAGAGGGGAAGTATATACCGGGCTCCAGAGGGAACACCATGCCTGGTCGAAATTTTCGACTGTATGGAATGCTCGGCGTGTCGTGCACATCCAACCCGAGAAAATGGCCAACGTGGTGCGGACAAATTTTCTGGGCCATCTAGGAGCACAAAGGTTCGAGGTAAGACAAGGAGAAAATGAGTCAAACCGCCGCAGACGCATTCGACTGCAAAATTTTTTCCTCGGACAGGTATTTGTAGATCCGTTGCAGCATCAGGTCGTACAGGTCCTGGAGGCTGACGTCTGGACTGGCGGCTTGCTGGCAGTCGCGTTGAACCTGCACCAAGATATCATGCAGAGTTCGCTGTTGCTTGGTGAACCGGCCTGGAAAGAGAGGTGGGAAGATGGAAGAGGTAAGTTTAAGAGTGGCTGCTCGGAAAGGGTGAGGGCCAGCATAAGAGCAAGATTCTACCATCGCTAGTACTGTTGGCCAGTATGCTGTTCACACCTCCCCCCCCCCCTACTCCGCTTCGGACTTGCGAGGCGGCAACTGTGATGACTGATTGAATTCCGAGCAGAGAACTCCAACGCTAGCAGCAGCGGTCCTTCGCCGCACTAGACATGTCAGAAGCCATTGTTTTCTCTCTGTGCCCCCTTTGATTGACCTCATTAAATACACGAAAGCACGCTATCATTTATCTACGAGAAACAAGACCCGTGTAATTTGAGTACTTTGGCCGTAGCCGGCAGGGCAAAAGCCCATACTGCAGTAATACGACATCTATCGGCCTAGTTGGCGAATGAGCGTCAGCTAAGGGACTCGTGGGCAGGCGCATGGTGGCGAACAATCGGTAATCAAAACTCTTACGATAGACAGCATATGTGCTGTCAATGAAACGGGGGTTAGTGAAATCCTACAGGTTTTTGAAGTTCCGATAGAATTAATAAAGCCCTCCCCAACCGCACCGATCGAGGCATTGGTGCTTTGAAACATCGACCAAAACCGCAAAAATGAAGGATGATGTAATTCGGAGAGAATTATGACGATGCGACCTAATATGTGAAAATAAACTTTACTAAAGCAATGCAAAAATAGCAGAGTGGGCGCTGAGGGAGACAATCTACCCTCAATCCAGACCATCGAGGAGTTCCCGAGAACGCTTCTTGAATTCTACTGCTGGTACATCATCCGTCAAGGCTTTTATCCGGCTGACTTCCTCGAGTTCTCACATATTCGATCGCTACTACGACATCACTCATCGTATCGTCAGTTCTTTAATTGACACCCCTCGTTGGGGATAGAAGTTAAACGTTTCCGTCTCTAATACACAAATTCAGGATTAGAATGTGTGATTCAGACAACGTGTTACAGAGACTGGTGAATTTTTTGGGCAGTACTCAAAAAGGCAGACGAGTCAACCAAAATCAGTCGGCGAAGTTCGTCGCTTCGACCTCTGAATCTAGCATGACCTTTAAGATGAGAGAACCTCCAAGAAAACAAAGCCTGTCTATTAGCCTACCCAGGGATTACATGAGACGTCCACAAGTAGTGGGACAGTCTTCAGCGAAGGCCGGCTGTTAAATAATCCGGCTCTCGGGTCTTATAAATACGCAGCTGCGAGTCGTGAAGCGGTAACACTTTCAGGGGTGATAATTCAATTGGTCAAGAAACGGTCACAAATCACTGATATTAAGTAACACATGGAAAATGGTTACCGCTAACAAGTAAAGCCGCGTTGTCGCCCAGTACGATGCTGAAGCCGCAAAGGTGGGGGAAGAGGTCCACCTTCAAGCTCAACTGCTACAGTAAACAATCCCTCTGGCCTGCCGACTCATGCAATACCCCTTCACCGATCCATGGCTTACTAGGGGGTTTAGACAATCGGAGGTTATGTTCAGCGTGCACTAATTTGAGTTATAAATGGTCGATCTTGTCGAGAGGGGGAAACCACCTGCGCAACAACAATAACTGGACTTCATCCTCCTTATAAATTTTAGTTATCGTGGTTGGTTATTAATGGAGATACGTATCTAACACACATTTGGTGCGCGTTAGAGAACTACGGTAGTTTGAAACTAGAGCAGCGAGGAACCTTAATGGGCCCTAGTAAGATATGTTACGTAAGGTGCGAACTCACTACTGTGGCTGACTCATTATGCGCATGCATGGGCACGTAAGCAAAGACTGGACGCCAACAACAACAACAACAACAACAACAACTACTACTACTACTACTACTACTACTACTACTACTACTACAGACTACACCTGCTGATTTATATCAAGAGGCTGAAGGACGAAGAGGCAGCTATACCAAAACCGGTAAGGCCTTTAACGATCGCAAACAAATCTAACTCGTTTGCAAACTAAACGGGACCATTGCACTCGCACGGCTACAAAATAAGTCCCCGAGTTCGGACTAAGTCAACGACATTAGCCCGCAATCAGGACATGTGTTGCAACGGCTCATGGCTAAGGCAGACGAAGGTCGACAATCGATAAAATCCTGCAGAACGCATCTGTTCTTTTAAATTTGCGACCTCTCGTAGAACTTTAGCGTGGTACGCCTAAATTCTGAAATAAGTCAATATACTTGCCATTTACGGGCCACGTCCTGGTAATATCTGCTGTATATCCTTCCACCTCACTCCCGACATCCATGAGAACCAGTTGATTGTCCTCAACAATACAATCATTCTGTAGGTAGTGAATAATGTTCGCTCTGGGGCCACCAGCTACGACTGCAGGGTAGCCCAGGCGGCTTCCCATCATTCGCGATTCGTGTTCAAAACGGGTGCATAGTTCAGCCTCCGCAATGCCGGGGAATGCTGCCCGCATGGTTTTCTTAAGGGCAGAGGTTGTCACCTCAGCGGCACGACGCAGTAAAGCGATTTCATTGGGTGATTTTATGAGTCTCAACTCATCTAGCAAAGGAGCGGGATCTTGAAGCTGCTTCGGGTCTAACGAACAGTTGGAAAACAACTCGGAGGTCTGGTTGAAAATTGTTCTGTTCACTGGGGCTTTATCCTTTCTGCGCACAATGAAGGGCAGGCCAAACCATATAAAGTCGGACGAAGTGTTCAGCTGGGAGAAAGCAGACGACAAATACTCCGAAAGATGGCTCAGAGGTTGGGTTTCCTGAATTCCAGTGAGTTGAGACGCCTTATCCACGCCCATGGTGGGACCGTCCCAAAGACGATCGTGTTCATTGCGCTCCTCGACAAAGAGGCGCGGGAGGAATGCAATGTTGTCATTGAAATCAGACTTAGAGTTAATGGCTGACACTTCTATTGTGAGTACGGCGCCGGGTTCAAGAATGCCCGTCAAATACCGGAAATAGGAATCCTGATGGAATGCATAAGGAACGTGAAGGGACATGAACTGCACTTCGGCAGCCGGGATAATAACCAAATGCCTAGTTGAGGTAAAAGGAGTCTCTGTAGAATATTCACCCAATTTCTGTACAAACTGCAGCCGACGACTGTCGAACTCCTCTTTTGATATGCTTCCGGAAAGTGTGCGCTTCGAGATACGCGGTTTGAATAGTCTCCTGAGGCACTTCGATAGAAGAATTGACTTCATTACCATTGTTGATACTCAAGTGAGTCCTTGTGAAGGTAAGTTTTAGGTCTAAAATTCAAATTTAACTGTAAGGAACCAGCATATAGCTGGAAGACGGTAAAGATTATAAGGAAATTGCATGCGTGCTCTGCTCTACAATTTCAACAAACTATCGAGGTGTTCACTACGACGACTGGATTTTGACCGAATTTTATTGGAGCAGTCTCCGAGGCCGCCTCCTGGATGCGCTGAAAACAGAGTTACGCTTCTGAATGATTTAGTACTGCTTTTGTCTGGTAGCGCACACGTCCAGTAGCAGGCAAAACTACACAATAAACTGGTGTCTGTGCTCCGGACACCGGGGAGCATTCTTACTTCCGAAGCATCAGCGAAAAAATCGGTAGATCAGGCGGACAGCTTCCACCACTTTTAGGGTATTCCTTACGAAAAGCAGTGAAATTGGTGAAAATTTTGTTGGCACCCGTGCTGAACGTTTTGGTTTTTGCAACTCTTCAACACCGTCAGAAGAATCTAGTCACCTGCTACTTATACGATGTCCGCATAAGATCCGCTCGGATACAAACTTATCCGAATACACGCGAACAGCTTTACTTAGGAAACCTGCAGTGGTAATGATTGACCAAGACCTCCCGTTCACGAGGCTGCGACTCGTACTGCGAGCTAATGAGAAATTATAACCTTTGAGGATGTGAGATATTGACCGTCCCGAAGATCCTGCAATTACTAGGAGCCTCGAATTAACCTTCTTTAACTGCTTCGTTGTATAGATGCAAATAACAGCGCCTTTGATACACCCTCATTTGAAAATAACTGGCTGGAGCTTCAAAAAATCCAGAAAACCTCACAGGCAGTAGCATGCCATAGCGGACGTCTCAACAAGGCATGAATATTTGGTCAAATTGTTTGACTTACTGATAAAGCACGGGCGGTTCGTCCTCGTGGTGATACTTCAGGGACTAGAGTCGTGAGATGATCACGCACTCCGTAATGCAAGAACCTGACAAATCTTGGAGCGAAATTCCCTGGTGTTGAACATGGTTCGGTTGGCGGAGACAACGAAGGCCCTACTGGATTTCGAAGATGAATCGGTCCCATAATTATTCCGCGTCAAACAAGATGAGGACGTAGTACTAATGACGATCAAAACTCCCTGGAAGGCTCACTTTTAACACCCCAAACGATAATGACGAATGTCATCACATGCACTATAGTGAATGCGCCTCGTCCTAGTCAGGTGTTCAACTCGATAACATGCTGCTAGTAAGGATACAACTAACTTAACCAACTGATATAGCAAGATCGCACATGACATAATCGATTATGAACAGATTGAGTAAAATCACGGTCTTAAATGGACTAATACAAGGAATGGCATGCGTGGCGGATTCGGCAAAGCTGTGAACTTTTCATTTCCACAGGGGACTGTTGACCGTCACGTGCAAACGCTCAGTCTTTTGAGCGGACTTCACAAGGGTCCCTATAAAATGACAAAGGCGTAGATTTAGGAATAAGGTTCCACGCGCAAATTACGATTTCGGAATCCACTAGGTAATCATTTCCACATTATACGGTAAAATTCGATAAAGTGGATAATCTTCAAGCTTCATAAGCGGAGAAAGTGAGCTATAGGCGGTCAAGATATCCGCCTGTGTGTTCGACAAAACTACTTGGGACAAAGGACCACAAGCAATTTTGACAAAATGTTGAAAGTCTAATGCACTGTAAGATGCTCCCAGCTGGTCGTGCCATCAATCTCGAATTGCATCGCAACGTCTGGAAGGAACATGTGAAGCCAAAACTCAAATTCTTGGAAACGATCAACCGGAAGCCAGCACTCCCTCAACGCGATACTGCGCCAAGTGTTCAACCAGTGAGAGGCTCCTAGGAAAAGAGGTATCACGTAAGTCCTCCGCAGACAAGGCATAGTTTAGACGTCGTGGCATCTGACTTCTTCGCTTCAAAAGCGTAGTATTTTCTTTCAAAGACCGAGGTTTCGAAATATTTACAAAGTTGAAACGGTGCAATCAGTGCCCTCGAGTCCACAAAAAGAGAAAATGGGTTTAAAAAACCAAAACATGCATGAAATCGCGTAGACACATGACCCATTTACGTACTTCTTTCGAACTTTAGACGTTGACAGAAATGTTGAATTCAACCTGGTCAGGTCTTCATCTAGTCAGGCAGGGTTCTCCAAGGTCTCGTCCAACTATTGTGTCGCCTAAAAGAAACTAAACAAACCCGTCACCCATGATTGGTGAACTCAAGGTCCGTTTGCCACAAATTCCCTTTGACGGCTGATGACGTGAAAACAGCAGCGACTGGCATTGATATCGATCAAGTCCCGTCGACGTGGTTCCCGAATGTCCCCTAACATAGCCACCTTCATAAAGCTACTAGAGGCTAACTCTGTACAGCGTTATATGCTTGGATTTGCCCTGGTTCAGGGAGAATTACTACGCCACTTTTGTCTGACCATCCTGAAAATAACGACACACTAAGAGTTTGGAGCAATAATTGTAAGGAATGAGCCATACAAAAGGAATATGCAAATACTCGGAATAGGTATTTTTATAAGAGAGTGACGAGTTCAAATCCAAAGGCATCTCGGAAGTCAATGTGTTGGAATCAGATCTATTAGAATCACGGTAACACAGACTTTCTATTAATTTAACTACGGTTCTCTGCTAATTACTTTGATGCCAAGAAGGTGGGAGTCAGAACGGATACCACAGACGCTCCGGAGACAAGGATTCCCGTTACAGGCCAAACCTCCCTCTAGGACAAAAAACGCTGTGGGTAAAAGTGTACGTTGCTGGAAAAATCCATTGGTTGAAGTATGTCATTCTTGCAACATCCGTTGGAGCAGAAAGTCGATCCAACGCACCTGATGCCAGTGGCCAAGCCGAATTTACCAACGCAAGTGAGGTCTTATTTTGGATATGTTTCAAGTGACACACTTCAACTGCCCGTCGAATTTAAGGAGAATTCAGTCGGCAGCCAGGATTTCCTGAGGGATTTTGAGTGTATTATGCCGAACTCTGTCGTATACTCGATGCTGTGCCAAAAGACTAACAGAGTCCAAAGGTAGGGCCATATAAATATCCAAAACCTACTTGAAAGTATGAAGCAAGCGTGAAACTCGGTGTGGGTGTTTGCCAGCTACGTAAGGGGAAAAGTATTAGATGCGGTGCGACAACCGGAACAACGGCCGCGACAGATAAAAAGTACGCAAACATTTAGGCTAACGACAGTAAAGGCATATGAATAAGAGGCCGGTTTCCCATAAAGAATTGAAAGCAATCTGTAAGGGCGAATGCAGTTTTTGTGTTTTACCTACTGCATTACTACCACGACCACATACTACCAGGCATACTATAACCACGAAAGACTGCCGCCAACTACCTAGAGCACTTCTTGTAAAATGTGTTTAGGATTCATTTCAGATCATTCTGGGCTCTAGTCGCTCTGAGATTGAAGTATACAAAAAAGCCCAGCCCTAGCTAACCAAGTCACAATGCGTAATTATGTACCTCAGTCACAGGAATTACCATGTTTTTCATTCTAAAATGATCTGTGCACTTGGTCGTGCATAGGCAGTTCACAATCGGTTTCTGCGTGCATGCCACCAACTGCAGGAGCGCAGCTAGAAATTCCCCTTTTGAGGCCAGCAAATATATCAGATGTACGTTTGAACCGACACACTATGGTTTGTCTAATCGCTCCACTGCAAGCATTCAAGCTATCACGAGGTACAAACGGAAGACAATTAAAGTTTGACACTCAATAACGTTGAATTCTTCGTTGCGTTTTCAGTGGGTCTAATTGTACCTTTCCAGTCTAATTTGAAAGTTTCAACGAGGTAGCGTCACGAAACCTGGCCAAACAAATTCAGTGGCACCGAAATATAGGAGCTACAGGGGTAGTTCGATAATTTGGGTGAGATAAATAAGCAGGACCGCAGGGAGGACAGACATTTTGTGGGACGACGCACTAGCTCGCTATCCATTAATGCACCTCGGCCAAAATACATTGGTGGAACAAGTTACTCAATGTGCAAAAAGCAATGTCACATCAAATAGCGCAAAGTTGTACATTGCTAAGAGGGAAGGTGACATTTGGACATTATTTGAACACTTCCACGTGAAAGGGTTCAGTCAAAACTCAAAGTGCAGGGCCTATCATAGGAGAAATCATGATTAATTACTCCCGACAGCATTGCTTCGGTCATGTTTTGTCGATTCAGAGGCGATCAAGAGTTGCGTGGTAGTCAGCACTTTTACTGGACGAGACGGCAGTTTTCGCGGCCAGTCAGGCAGTTTCCCTTCAGAAGCATATCCACAATTCGTAACCCAATGCGCTTTTCAGCCTACTGCGGCTAACAAAACGGTCAGACAGCAGGTCTCGCCTTCAGGTGCACCCTGCAGTTCGTAGCCCCAGACATTTGGCAGTTTAGTTGGCCTGGTCAGTCTGCGATTCCGCCCGTGAGACACCTGCGCCGAATAAAAATTCCGGGCACGAAAAATCGACACCCCCTCCGCCTGTAGCGCGACCGCATGTGTCAGCCGTGTGACGGCACGCGTAGGTTTTGTTACACAAACAAGCCCTAACTGCACGGAAAAAACCACTTCGGGTGGAGGAGGTGGGCAAGACCAGCCGACTATAGCTTTCGGATGAATGCGTCTTGACAGGAGAGAGGTTTGATGGGACAAGAGTTATGGAGCCCAGAAGGCTAGGCGGCAGTCGTGAAGCTCGGTCCGGTCCACAGGTGTACGCAACCGATGCGCGAGTTGGAGTGTGACACCACAGCCAAAGTGACCTTAGCGCTACTGCTGCTATCAGGAAGTGGCAAGGATAAAATACTATATTGCTGTTATGCCCAGCAATGTGCATTTCGTATGAAGCTCAGGCCAAGCCGTGATGTGCTCAGAAGAAATATAAAAGCTGTTCGGAAGAACTCTGGTAAGCAAGCGGATAACCCTTAACAGCTAAAAGTTGCGCGACGGAAACGCCAAAATTAAACGAACAGTTAGGAACCGATAAAGCACGGGGTTAAAACGGGTTGAAACAAATCAAATGGGAAAAATAAACGGATAGCGAAAGTTGGGTAGGAAAAGAAAATTTGGGAAAACTTGTAAAGACGCGCGCAATGTGCATCAAGTGGCAGGTGGCAGGGCCGACCAACAGCCGCCCCCAATCACTGCATTTAAAAGATGCACCAAACCTCCGGTGCACACAAAGTAGTGAGCTATGACTATAATGTTGCGTCCGTGGGTAACTCAGACGGCAAAAATCACTAAATTCACGTTCAGCCTGTTACTGCGGGGTGCCCTAGCTACCATGGGGGATGGGAAAGCCTTTAAAATCATCACCATGCCGGGGTTTTAAATAGCTTCAGCATTTCAGGGGTCAAGTGACCGGGTAGGCCGCCTATTTGTCACAGATAATTATATAACTGGCACATAACTTTCATCTGCGGCTACCTGAAGTTGGGCTCTGCCTACAAGCTCTGCCTCGGAAAGTTCCCTGACTGGTGTTCTGAGCAAAATGATGCTGTGGGAGCACATATGTCCAGATCAAAGTAAGACAACTTGAAAACGTGATTGCTGACTTAAGGACATTCATGCAGTAGAACTTTGACTGAAAGAAGAATGTTGCTAGCGTAAGTGTTCAAAAAAACGAGGATTAAAACGCAAAAAGCGCGAAAAAATGTCTTCTCTGGAGCACCAAACAGGGGTAGCAGCTCAGTAAGTACAGACGTGGATATCGATAACAGATAGACAAAGATAAGTAAGCTGCCGATGAGGGCAGAGTCGATCTGCACGCAAGACGACCTACACGATGTCATAAAAAATTACCTGTGGTGGAGCCATCTCGCCTTCTTCTCTTGCTAAATGTGGAGGGATTTCTTTTTTGTCAAGGAATGATATAACTACGTCATCCACTGTACCGTTGCCCTCTTGTTCTCGCAGCCACTCCAAGTGCCCTATAGGAAGCGTATATGAATGTGAATACATGAACTCGTGGGAAGGTGTGGGAAAACACCCTAACAGGAGTGTGAAGTCATAGCCAGCTCTGATGAATTCCTCAGGACAGTCAGTCGAAAACAGAAGTGTGCGTCCAAGCGAGGACTACGTAAATTTTTCTGTCCTCATACAGAGAATTCGCCGGAATGGCAAAATAAAGAATACCAGTACCGCCAACTGTGTCTGGTTGTTTAGGGTTTGTCTGGATGGAATGCAATCAGACACGAATATACATATATACGAAGATCGTATCTCCGAGGATCTTGCTTCGTTTCATGGCCTGCTCAATCAGTTACTTCAGCCAGACGTGGAAATAAAAGCCCTGAAAGCAATCCGGATCGGAAAATGGAGTGGGAATAGGATAGCAGCACTATCACCTCGTCCTCTCCAGATTATGCTGGAGAACAAAGAACAAATAAAGTTCATCCTATCCAAAAAACCAACTTCAGAAACTCACGTAAACGGATTTTTCAACCGGACTACTCTACAATGGAATGGCCGAAACAGGTCTCGGAATTAAAATCGGGACTGAAGGGCGACGAACATAACTTAACTATCTTCAGGGAAGAGTAGCTCAGAAAACCATGCCGTTTCCGTTGAACCGGTCGGAAAAAAGTAACTAAATGGATTATTTTATTAAAAGAAAATTGGAGTCCAGTCATAGCAATTAGACATATTCTGTAATTTATTGAATTTTCGGTTGTAGAATAAACAGTTACATACTCGATTTTTGCATTCAGAAAAGCTCCCACAAACTTTGGGTGCTGAATCTACTGATCGACTGTACCGTAGCGATGGCGTTTGTGGTCTCTGAGCACTATGGCCGGTCTCACCAGCTGTTCCTCAACGCCTCTACTTTGACTATCCCCAACTTCATGAAAGAAATTTGACGTCCGATAATCTTCGATACCGTGCAACCTCCCCTCTTCTTGACGGTCGATATTCTACCACCGCCGACAGTTTTTTTCTCCTGAGCCCTCCAAACCACAAAAACCACCATCAACTATATTTTTATGCCTTAAGCTCAGGAGTTTTTTTTCACTGCTGGTCGGATTTGTGTTTAATCGCTTCCCTTGACAATGCCTGTAAACTGGCATTAAATTAAAATTTATTTATTTATTTATTTATAAAAACGGTCAGAGAGTAGTGGAAAAATCTCCTTATGAAAAAACTCAGATGAGCATGGATCGGTTAACGTCAAAGGTGCTAAAAATTCTGCTCATGAAATGGGAAATATGATGGTCGAATAGGACTGGCCTGCACATGGTATTTTATAAGGGATTCAAACCGTAAACCGTCAAGGCAGAGCCTCCTAAACCGGATTAGTTTATCCGCCTCGAAGTCGCAAGGCATAGGAACCAAGACACGATCGGACACAGTCCGCTTAGACTCCAGCCGGGAATGTGACATTAAACGTTAGGGCGGTCATCAAAGCGTAAAAGGGAGAATGCGACCCTGAGATCTCTTTGAAGACCAATCAAACTAATAGCAAATAGCGAAAGCGGAATATTCATGCCCTGATCGTCAACATACCATTTGCGGTCGAAATTAGGAGTTGACATCAGGATCCACGAAAATTAACGACTGTGGTGGGAATTTGAAGTCGCGGGTCCGGAGCGAAATTCTGATGTATGTTTGCAATTAGCGAAACGAGACATCTTAGAACGTGCAAGTCAACCCAGCCACGCAACTTCTTTGAGAGAATTTATCAGGAAAGATATTGCGTCCCGTGCGGGACGCGATGCATGAGCTGACAAATCGAAAAAAATTTAAATTTCTGAAAAGGAATTCCAGGAAGGGGAACTATACGCAAAAGAAGGAAATGTAAGTGGACGTGGTAATTTAATGGTAGCGTTCTAAATTCCCGATGGCCTTTTCTCAACGTCATGGAGAAAGTTCTCCGGGAAGAATGAGGAAAATAGAAGGCTAATCGAGTCAGTATTCAGATAAAGGCGCAGCCTACTCTTAAATGTGCGTAGATTCTCTGGAGTTCTTATATTTATTGGAAGGCTATTCCAGAGGTAAGTATACCTGGAAGCGAGAAAAGAGAACGCTAAGAGGTGGAGGAAGCGGGAGGAGGTACAATCAGGAAAGAGTTGCGAAGATTTTATGGACGACTACCAGGGGTAAGTGCTGAAATCCGAGGAAGATTTGAACTATTACTAATGCGAAAGATGAGACAGAAGCCTGCTTCTAGTCTTCGAACTCAGGAAAAGTTAGGTTAGTTAGCTGGCATTTATCTGGGTAGGAAATATTCGGATGTTCCATACCAAGGAGTTTTCTAGTAAAATGTCTTTGAGCATTTTTAGTTTTTGAACGACTAGCCTCATTCATTAAACCAAAGAATGGGCAACAATACTCGGGAATCGAAAGTACAAACATTCGGTAAAGTTTTAACTCAATTTCCGGGAGATATAAATTGTAAGAAATAAATCCACAAATCTGGGCAGCTTTGGTCGTAATTCTGTAAGCGTTTACCGATAGATCAAGATTACTGGTGTAGCCTAGGCTTAAATTCTTGATGGTAGCACATGCAGTCATAGGTGGGCCTTGAATGACCACTGGATGGGGTAGCCTACCAGGCCGAAAACACATAGCGAAAATTAGACAGAGAGGCACCTTATAAAAAGCTGTATTAAGATCAAAATAAATAACGACCACGGATAACTGAGTATCACGAAGAGTAGAAAGTAGATTGAGAGGCGACATATGACATGTTTCACAAGAGCTGTCAGGTAAACAAACATGTTGGGAAGGGCTAATAACTTGATTGGTTATTCAAAAGTCAGTGCTTTTCATGACGATAATTTTTCAAAGATTTTGGCGAGGGAATGTTTTTGACACTTCGACGAGGCCTTCTGTTACGAACTGTAATAAACCGTGGAAAAAATTAGATCATTATTTGAAAAGATATTGTGGCAAACAAAGGTGCTTGTAAAGTTGTATACTAACTCCTTGTCAATATAAGCATATTCAAGAAAACTAGGTTTTACTGTTGGCTTTGCGGAAATAGTAACTGGTAGACGATAGTAAATAAATGCATGATCGCTTTTAAAAACGTCAGGATGGAAATCCATGGATAGAGGGGGGATGCCATTAGTAACGATTCGACATAATACCCTACCGTTTCTGGTCGGACAGTGGACTAATTGAGGCAAGTTTGAAAACTGAGTGATTTCTAGATGCTTCTGGGATTTTGGAGAGGAAGCGTGTGTGTGCCAGTCAATTTCTGGTAAATTAAAATCTCCTACGATTATCTGAACACCGAAAGAAGGTCTGCGATTTTTCCAAAGAGTTCGCAGAGGTAGTCTTCATTTCAGGAATTACAAGGAGGATTATACACACATCCGACTACGGCTTTCCTATTAACGGAAGGATTACCGAAGGGAAAAATAGATTTCCAGAGAAGGAAGAAATGTCCACTTCATAAAGCGAATGTGCAAATGAGGTTCTGATGTAAATAAGGAAACCACCGCTACGTTTCTTTACAAGATCCTGGCGGTATAAGCTGGGGCTTTCTATAGCGAGCGCCGGGTCTGAAATTAGAGAGTGAGCCAAGGTTTTCTAACGCACAAACATCTGGGTCAACCTCAAAAGGCACACTTCTTAGTTGTGTCACCTTTTGCACTACTGATCTTGCGCTGAGAGAGGTCATACTGAGCGTATACATAAGATGTAGGTTCAGCTCATTATTGCTTATAAAAAAGGAAGAGCTGGTGGTGGAAAATTAAGCTGTAGAGAAGAAGTAGAAGGTGGAGAACTAAATTTTTGTGGTCTGAAATTTGTGGGGATATTACCGCTAGCTAGAGATGCAGCATTGTATGGAAAAGAAATTGGGCAAAACCCAGGAAGATGGATGCTATTTTGTGTGGTTGGAAAGATGGAAGGCATAAAAATCGGATTTTGTGAATTTTAGGCATATTTTTAGGGGGTGATTTATGTTACGTGATGGATTTAACGATTTCGAGAAACAGCTGGCATAAGGAGAATGCTTTATTATTTGGGGTGTCAGGCTAGCAGTGAGGTTGAAAAAAATTATAAGCAACTCTACGCACTTGCATTTTACAGGTTGGAATGCAAGCGAGCTTTGCAACTGTTGTGTTTTCTGTAAGTTGACAATTAGGGATAGGAACAGATAAAGAGCTCTCTGAACTATCATCTGGCATATCTGATTTTTCCGCTATGTGAGATTTTTGTGGCCTGGCACAGGAATGGGATGCATTTGACCCAGGTTTATTAACTAATTCATTATTCTGAGTCCTAAAGGTCCATTGTGGATCTAGGATTGGTCAATTTTTACTGATAAAATCAAGCGTACTAGTAAACTTGGGAGCCGCAATTGAGCAATCTTTGCATTAGAGTTGTGAAATTCCCCATAGCTATATTGAGAAGACTAAGTGACGAGCGAACGTCGCTTTCTATAACTTCTCGTCAGGCCAGAACGCTTATATGGGAGGGGGTACAGTGAGTGAAAAAATCGATAAAAGTTAGTTTTTAAAATACAGGCTAAGAGCGGAAGGACGCAGAAAGTTGTATCTTTTGAAGAAGGAGACATGATCGCCGGGACAAGATCGTTATTAGCCTGACGTTTCGGATTCCTATTCGAATCCATCATCAGAGACAAAAAAACAGAAAGGGATGGTTGTTGCACAAGGGGCTGCGGTAGTTATAGGATGCAGTAGCCATGCTACCGCACACCTATGAACATTAACGGATCCCTTCTTCATTCGGGATCGTCGCACTTTGTGTGATCATTGCTTGATGGCAGACATTCGAGTCGATAATTGCTGCAATTTCATCACGTGCGTTGGATGTTGGTGTGATGATTGCTCGACCATCTGACGCACCGACCCCGGTGTTGGGAGAAGTGTTCACCTCTGCCCTCCCCGCATGGCTTGTTACTCCGCCTAGGCGAAGTTTTAGCACGGAGTATGGAATGGGAAGCTCGTCGCACGTGTTGATGGACTGGGGGCCAGTAAACCATGATTCCAGTAGCTCCCGGCCCACGCGGTTGTCACCTCTTGCGAGAATTTCGGCCTCATCGAATTTGAATGTGTGGCCGGATCTTGTCGAATGAGCCGCAACTTGAGAGCTGGCGTCATTTCTCCGTACCGCTGTAGCGTGTTCGGCCATTCTCGTTCGGAGCTGTCTTCCGGTTTCTCCGACGTAGTTGCTTTGTCCGCAAATGCACCAGATCCGATAAACGACTCCAGACGTTTCTAGCCGTGGTAGTGGGTCTTTCGGTTTAATCACCAGACGTCTGATGGTTACCTCCGGTCTGTGTGTAACTCCAACGCCATGTGGTGCGAGAAGGCGGCCGACAGCTCCCGAAACGTTCTTGACATACGGAAGCGCCCGCCAACATTTGGTGTCCGTGCAGTTGGGCCTTTCGTCCCTTTTGCGTATACACCGGCCGACGAAGTTGCGCGAGTAGCCATTGGCTTTGAAGACCCATCGGAGGTATTGTATTTCGGCAATTTTTCTTCCGGCTCACTGCAGTGCGTTTCGACACGCCGATAGAGCGTCCTTACACAACTGCGTTTGTTGCTGATTTGGTGGTTACTGTTGAAGTTCAGTATTTGCATCGCATTTGTCACTTTCCTGAACACTTTGGTTTTTAGTTCACCACCATCTTTGCGGCATACGAGGACATCGAGGATGGCCAGCTGGTTGTTCTCTTCCTCCTCCATCGTAAATTGAATGTCCGGGAAGACGGCGTTGAGATGTTCTTGGAATGTCAACACCTGATCCCGTTCGATGACGACGAAGGTATCATCCGCATACCGGACCCAGAATTTCGGTCTGTGGTGTTGGAAGACCAGCGACTCTAACCGTTGCAGGACCGCCTCAACGATGAATCCCGATATCGGCGAACGCATTGGTGTGTTCTTCACCTGTTCGTAGATTGTCCCGTCGAACGTGAAGTACGTCCTGAGACAGAGCTTCAGGAGCTGATGGACTTGGACGTGTCCAAGATGGTTCTCCGTTTCATCGTATTTGCTTTGTAGTAGCAGCTCAGTTGTCTCGATCGCCAGGTCCTGTGGAATAGAAGTAAAAAAGGATGTAACATCAAAAGATACCATGACCTCATTTGGATGGATGCTTACCCCTTTGGTTTTTTTCAGGAATTGTGCTGACGAATAGACCGTGGTGTCTGACTCAGCGGTCAGGAACTTGAGACGCCGGAACGGCCACTTAGCCAGTCCGTACGTTGGAGCCCTTTGAGCGACACGATGGGCCGGAGAGGAGCACCGTCCTTGTGTACCTTAGGGAGGCCATAGAATCGGGCCAAAGCCGTATCTTGGGGTCTCGCCGTGCGTCTGTCGGTCGGTATTATTGCACCTTAGTTCTCCAAGGCCAACAACGTAGCATTAATTTCGCGTGTCAGCGCCTTTAAAGGGTTCGTTGCACATGGGACATAGAACTGTCGGTCCTCCAGTAAACCTTTGGCTTTTTGAAGGTAGTCTGTCCCGTCCAGTACAACTGTGGTGCGTCCTTTGTCCGCTGGCACAATGACTAGGTCCTTGTCGGCCTTGAGTTCTCTAAGCGCATCACGTTCGACCTTGGAAAGCACTTCCTGCGGCCTGTGGGCCATCAGGAGAGACGGCACTTGGTGTCGGATGAGGCTCTTAGTCTCCTCCATTGCCTCCGTCTGACAAAGGATTGATTCCACGTCAGGCTAATAAAGCTGTTTTCCCGGCGATCATGTCTCCTTCTTCATGACTACTTCCTGGGACTCGTCTCTTCGCTTCTATTGGCAAAGTTGTATGTGTTTAGTGAACCTTTGACCACGGTAAGCGCGGAGCCTGAACGAGGTTCTTCTGGATGCATAGGGTCGGTTTTCTTAGCCTGGTGGCGTCCGCTTCTGCTGTTGCTAACAGGTGCCGGTCCAGTAGCTTAGGGTAGCTCGAAGGGACCTTATAAATGACACGAAATGCTCCAACGACGTTCATACGATGCCCTGAATCCACTGCATGTTCATGGATGGCATTGTCTATTCTCATAGTTTCACCTTTTGTTAGCCATACGGGAAGGTGCTATAGTATTCTTTTGGGAAGGCGCCGACTCGTATGACCACTATGACCTGCTCAACAGGAGCAAGTGAATAAGTAGATGCACACTGAGGCCGTCTGAGGTGGCAACCTAACCTTGTCCTCTCCGCGTAAAATAGGGTTAACAGAGAATGACATGCGAACCCTTGCTGCTTGGAATGTTCCCGATAGAGCTTGGTCCAGGCGGCTTCTTAGAAGATCACTCGTATCGTCCCCTTGGAAAGGGCCTTTTACGAACAACTTTTTCTTTTCGGTGGTCAGTGTGGTGGGATTTGCGGGTCGCTCGGCAAGGTCCTTTGCAATGAACCTGTCAGGATACCCGTCTTCTGAATATAGATGTCCTTCTAAAAAAGAGATCTGACGGTACCATCCGAAGGAACGTGTATCGGAAGAAAACCTGCTCTGAACAATACTCGAACTTCGTTAGTTTCATAATTCTCTAACAGATAGTACCGAGGAGGAACTCAGAAGAATCCAGGACTTGCTTCGCTAACATAGGGAATAGGCTATGTATGCTTATACAATTTCTAAAAGCTATCAATATTGGTAAACCTGACGGCACAGTTGTTACAAAGCAATTATTACTCAATAAAAGAATGTTATGGCAGAAAAAACACGCAAATGAAAATTTCCTAGGTGGCAAAACAAAGCTATGAATAGAATGTGTATTTACAAGTGAGACTATGTAGGATAAAACGGACGACAGCCTAGTTCTCTTGCTAGTTAATAAATCGACAATAAAAGAAGATTTGTTGGAGAAGATTTATCATTATAAGTGATGGTTTATGTACATTTTCGATTTCTCATCTGAAACTTTCTTGTACACTTGAGCGCTTCTGTACAGATTTTGAATAACCGAAAATACGCACAAGTGGTCTCGACTTGACTTACCGCGTACCTGGTGCCTGAATACTGCGTGGTGTCAATGCTTCATTCATTGCTCTCACGGACCCCAATCCTTTTTAGTGAATTCCCACGTAACACTTTTATTTCTCGGTCATATCTCGACGGACGTGAAGCCACTCGAGCAACATGCTTCGGTAACTGACTTTAGCTCGGAAAATTCCGGACTTTACCCGAAGTATTTTTACACAGGTAACCTCTCGCTGAAATTCGACCGCCTGATCTGTGAGAAATTAACTTAATTGCAACTTGCCTTCCCTGCTTGTACCAACCCCGCCAGGCCCGCTCAGATATGGTGGGGCTGGGTTGGGCTGTAAGGTGGCTATCCGGGGCAGCAGGTGAGCCAGCGAGGTGGCATACGACAACCGCCTCCCTCTAGCCCATTCCCTCCAAAAAATAGCGCAGGGGGACGCCTATTGGTCGTCAATTTTGGCAACCCTTTACAATACCGATTTTCGCCTCCACAGCTCATCCCAGCCAGACAGCGCGTATTACTCTTAAATGTGGCTATGAAATACGTGCGAGGGGACGTTTTTAACTCCCCTTACCAGCTTTCAGCTTCTAGAAAACGTGTGGTGTCTGTATACTTTCTATGCTCCCAAATGAACGGGCTGCGGCCCTGCCCATCCACGCAGCCCGCCTCGCCTATAAGGACGCCATGTGCTAGCAGGGTCAAGACAAGATGAAGTAAAAGTCCCGGGTCGGCGAAAGCTTTCGGACTCTGTACCTAAGCATGGCTTAAATAAATCTACTTCAAAAGGCATAACTAGCCATTTGCCACTTGTTGTTACTGATAGGCAGCCTAATCCTCTTGCGCTTTACATCTGCAAGGATTTTATACTAAAGTTTGACATTATGTTCTCAATTCTGGGAAAGTTGTTTGAGGGGACCATATCCGATGTTCCTTTTCAAGGATGCAAACGTCTTGGCTTACTCGTCCACCTGATCACCAGTGAATCTAGTGATAGACAAAAAGAGCTTACAACCTCTTGTTGAAAAATGTTTTCTGACCTGCACGGCCTGTTGGTGTTGCGGTTGATGTCCTGTACTCATGCGGATTCAACTACAGAACAGCTGATGTCAGGCGCCTGTCCTTCCGCTGCAAAAATCCGCCTGTCTTAGTTAAGTTGTTTTCACCAATCGCGGTCGACTCAATCTTTGCCCATCGACATCGTGCTTCTACGTATCTGAAACGCGAAACTTTTCCTTTGTCATGATCTTACTCCCATGGAGCGTAGGAATGGGTCCCTTTCCTCACATAAACCCTCATCGTCTCAGCCGAATGCTCACCAACTCAGTCCTAATACAAGTAGACAAGAAGATTCAGCTAATCCTATTCCTGCAAACTCTGGCCCCCTTCTCCCTCTTACTCCCAAATCTCCTTCTCACTCAAGCCACTTGACGCATTCGTCTGTTTCTATGTTAGTAGCAGACCCACTTTTCCTACCTAATCCTCCGGATAGCTCCCTTAAGACGCAAGAAAATCCGTCTACATCGGCTAGACCGATAACTCCCCCACTTCAACAGGGTCCTCCGAGTTTTCTGTCTAAGGCGCTTGTGACATGTCGTCAGAATGAAGTGATCAAAAAACGGAATCCGATTCTGACCCAAAAGAAAGGTATCATAACTCCATTCAGTGTTATACATCCTCAAGTTAGACCTACTAAACCTTTACAGCCAAGCTCGTCTATAAACACCGTGACTCCGTTTATACCACCAAATAATTCTCTGTCCTGCATACCGGCTACTTACCAAAGCCATTCTATCTACCCTGTAAATAGTTCGTGCATGATTCGTCACCAGTCATTAATCGCCAAACATGGTTCAGGCTTCTTGCCACTCAAGGCCAACTGCTCTCACGTAAGTGAACATACCTTCTTTGACTTCCAACCTAGAACTGGTCTCCCGCACTTACTTCTTATGGCAGCCTCCCTTTCCCCACCAGCCCCTACCTTCCTTCTAGACTTCCTCTTCCTCCCTCCTCCTCCTCCAGAAATTAACTACCTACAAGCCTCTCCTTTTTCTAACTCCCTTACCACTCCGATGTCCGAAAACTATATCCCCACATCTTTCAGGCCTCCCAACCAGCTTTCTCTTGCTGACTCCACGTACGCCAATAACTCTCGACTCATTGGTACTTATTCCCAAAATAATATTTATTCCAAGCCTATATATCCACATCCAAATTTTTTCTAGATACCATCGACAATAGCCTTGCTGTTCGAAGCGCATTAGAGTTAATCCAATCACATTTATTTTGTTTATTAGGCAAAGGAGACTTTTCACTGTTCGCTCCTCATTTTTCGCTCAAAATTGCATATTCAAAAGCCTAAACTGAATACTCAAGCGATTCTGTCTACTTGCTCTAAAATTCATGGGAAATTTTTTATTATCATTTCCGCTTTATGGTAAATCGCCAAAACTAAACGGCAAGCGTAGTTATTTATGGTCAAAAATAGGAAATTTTGCCAGATTTCTACGGGAAAACTATGCAAGAGATTGAAAAATATTATTCAAAGTATGAATTTCACTGATATTTTGAGTATCATTCTGCTGCAACTATATCCACCTCAGACTGAAGGCGAAATTTCGAGTGTCAGGTGTATGCATATTTGAAGAAGAAGAAGAGTTGAGCAACGGAACACTTCGTTTATTATCCTGAGCTTTCAGACTCGTACAGGAAGCCTGGGCCTCGGATGAGAACTCGGTCAATCGATTTATCGATCTGGCGCCGGTATACAGAGCGCTTCGTAGTCATCTCCAGTCGTGCGACGTCGGTCGATGATTGGGCCTACGTGCCTTATAACTGCCGCTTGTCCTGTTTCTGTCACTACCTCTGACGATGGACTCCTGTACGAGTCTGAAAGCTCAGGAAAATAAACGAAGTTCAGGTTAGCAAAAGTAAGATATCCGGGTTGGTAATCTGAGGAGAATGAACTGCTCACCGGATCGGGGGACTTCTCTGGCTGACGTTTCGAAGAGCTGGGGCTGCTCTCCATTGTCAAAGCGTCAAGTGAAAAAATCGATCAGCATTTTTGAATAGACTGTCGCATTAGTTGGCCCTGGGCTGATCGATTTTTTTCTTCTTTCTCTGCCTTGGCCTACTGGTCGTGGACTGTGAATGTTGGTGGGCTCCTGTAATACGTGTCGTCACCTCAATTGGGGTTGGTTGCATTTGCGTTCCCCTTTTGTGTGAAGTGGTCGACAGGCCGTGTTTGCTCGGCGTTCTTAGGCTCCGTGTGATTGTCTTGTCTTTGTCACGGTGTATGAAGTGACGTAGGACTTTATAGGCCGAAGGAAGGTCTAGATGCCTGTTGATGGAATTGGCATCTGAGTACCAAGCCTCAAGTGTGAGACGCTCAGTCCTTGAGGTGCCCCTACCTAAGACGGCTGCCCCTTGAAAATCAAAACTGTGGCCAGTTTCCCCGATGTGAGCCGCAAGCTGTGAGTTTGGGTCTAGTCTCCGTGTTGCCAGTTTGTGCTCATGTAGGCGGGTCTGCAATTTCCGTCCGGTTTCCACAACGTAGTTGCAGTCTCCATCCTTACAACGTATTTGATAGACAACTGCTGAGGTTTCAGTGAGTGGCAGTATGTCTTTGGGTTGCATCAAACGGCGACGAATTGTTGCCTGGGGTCGGTGGGCAATACCTACCCTGGCGGGTTGTAGCAGTCTTGAAACCGCCTCGGA